ATAATTCAGCGAATAGTTTGAATTCCTAACTATAATTTCAATGTTGAACTGGAGAATTACAGATTCTTTTTTATTAGTATATAGGCATGTTAATTGTAAAACTAATGGGTTTAAAAGGGTTATAGTAGTCTATGCAAAGTAATATTATTCCATTCCCAGATGATTGGTACTCATAACTTCTGTCCCTAAAGATCATTTTTGCGCAATGCTTATTATTTGTAAGAAAAATGAAGAAGAAATCACACTACAAGATACTACGTGACTGTATGACAACTTTTTTTCTCTACTTTTGTAAGGAAAATTTTGATAAACAACATTCATACAAATGTCGTTATGGTAATCCCTTACATATGCCTAAAATCACTTAACACAAGAATATAGTGCATTCATGGGTTATAATCTGTAAATGGGATTAACTGTATAATTCAACCAAGGTCTTCCCTAGAGATAGACTGCTGAAAAATGCATTTACATGGCACTTAAAAAATATAGCCAATGACATTGGCCCCCATGACATGCTCTGCTTCTTGTACACTCAATTCTACCACAATTTTCTCTAGCCTCCTGCTGGGATCCCCATTCCCAAAGGCACAGACTTTCAAGAAAGAAACACAGAGAAACTGGAACTATTCCAACTCCCTTCCATGGAGTGTTATGTGAGTAAGAAAATCTCTATAATTAACACAATGTGAAACATTGCATAGTAAAATTATGTCAGTTTTGGACTGCTCTTGCTGTGCTGTGATCACATGTAATGTGCCAAGGGACTTTAAGTCTACAAAGAGTGAGAAAATCAACAGGTATTTCAGGAAAGTACACAGCACTGAGCCACTGCAGGGTGTTAATGGTTTTTCTTAACAAAGTCCCTTATTATGATAACTTTTCTTCTTTCACTTAGTCTTCCCCATCTGTAAAATAGCAGTAATTTTTTTGAGACAGGGACTTGCTATGTAGATCAGGCTGGACTCTAACTCACAGAATTCTGCCTGTTACACCCAGCTTAAAATAATAACAACTACTGAATGTATTTAATATTTGCTCTGATGATAAAATACCAATAGTTTGTGTGTTTGACAACAACCAGCCTATGTAATCCACATCAGCATTTGGTCAACTATAAACAGTTCACATCTGCCTGACAGTAGCCTATAATCCCAAGATTATAAATCCAAGAAAGTTATAGGAGAAAATGAATCCAAGTACAGCTGATTTGCAAAGCTTTCATCATCTGGATATTATTCTAAAAAAAAAATAAGCGACCTTTGAACTATGTCTATGAAGGCTGAATAGAATCATATTTGTGATTCATTAAAAAAAATCCTTTCTATGTAAAACAGATGGGAAGAGAGCTGGTGTAGAGGCAATAGAAATCTAGGCTAGAAATGATGCATTTGTGCTGGCTAGTAAGCACACCCCAAGGTAAAGGAATGGCAATAGTGGTAGACAAGGAATAACTATTTTAAAATAAACTTACCAAATTAAAAAATAAAGTATGATGGAATTATCTTTAAAAATAAGGAACAAATGTACCCCTGGAAAATATAGGACAATAACCATAAAAGCTAAAAAGTAGAAGTCATTATGTAATCTTATCATTTGTAGCAAACCCCTATTGTGTACTTAACAGTACAGTAATTTTCCTTTCTGTGCGTACAAAGATTTATGTGGCATGTATAAGATCTGTGCATATGTTTAAGCTGGAATCTGCTGCACTATATTGGGTGTTTTATGGCCTGAATTTTCTCTGGATATATCACAAACAAGTTTCCACATCATGAAATACACTTTGGTAACATCCAATGATGTGGCTACTTAATGATCCACAATTGATTTCATTCCAACTTCCCGTACTGGGTATTTATGGTGCCATTTTCCCCTCTTTTTGTCATTATAATAAACAGCTCTAGGGTATCAGGGAGCTAAATTTTAGGAAACATGATTGCTTTCTCAGAATACAGCACTAGAAGTTGAGAATCGGTTAAAGACTATGTTCAGTTTTAGGATTGCTGACTCATATTGACAAATCCCTTTCAAAAAAGAGCTGACTAAAATTATCAGTCCACTACCAATGTGCCTAACCAAGAGAAGATGCATTTAAGACTAATGCCAAAGATAATCAAAAGGACCAGGTAGCTAGAGAGGAAGATGTTTCCTAAGAAAGTAATAAGAAAGGAGAAATCCTGTCAAGAGAAGTAAAGCAGGCCTAACAGGTTTAAACTATGAGAAAGAAAAAGATAACATGAATGTCTAAAAATGAACACATGGTGAAAGTGTGAGCATTTGAATTGTGATATTCAGTAAAGGTAGCACACTCGGTAAACTGCTGTATCTGTCAATTTACATTTTATTGATTGACTGATTGTATTTTTGTTTTTTAAAGGACAGGGTTTCTCTGTAGCTTTGGAGCCTGTCCTAGAACTAGTTCTTGTAGGCCAGGCTGGCCTCAAACTCACAGAGATCCACCTGCCTCTGCTTCCCAAGTGCTGGGATTAAAGGCATACACCACCACCACCCGGCCAATAAACAAAAAAATGTTAATATCCTGTACTACCAAGTTCCATAGCTGCATCCATGTGAATATTTGTTACGTTTCATCATATAATGACCGACTATTAGATGTCTACTGTCCCAAGTACTCTAAGTATAGAGATGAACGAGATGTGATTCCTGCCCTCAACGAGCTCACAATCTACTAAGAAAGAAACAACCACTGGCATACTACAGTATGATCTCATCTGGAATAGAGGTAGCATGGGTCATACAGAAGTGAAAATACTAACCTTGCCTTGTGTGTGCATTCATGCAAATATGGAGTGTTTATTCGAAAGGCTTCCCACAGACACTCATGTTTTAATTGAACTTTGAGCGTTCTAGGAACACTCAGTGAGGCAAAAGGGGTGCTTTTGCATAACCCAAATCCACTCTCTTGAACAGAACCAATTCCCCAAATCCACTCTCCTGAACAGTACCAATTCCCCAAATCCACTCTCCTGAACAGTACCAATTCCCCAAACCCACTCTCCTGAACAGTACCAATTCCCCAAACCCACTCTCCTGAACAGTACCAATTCCCCAAATCCACTCTCCTGAACAGTACCAATACCCCAAACCCATTCTCCTGAACAGTACCAATTCCCCAAACCCACTCTCCTGAACAGTACCAATTCCCCAAATCCACTCTCCTGAACAGTACCAGTTCCCCTACATTGCCACCTTAATGTAGGCAATAGCAGGCTCTGGCAATGTTATGCTCATCATAAAAGACAAAGAACAAGCAAGTGGAAATACTAATAAAATAATATTTACATGTACCCATTACTACTAATCCTAACAAAAAAAATATCTCTCAAGTTTGTTTCCTCCTCTCCCACGTCACTACTTATGAGCTCCCTGAAGGAAACACCCTACTGATCAAGCCTCCCTCCAGTGCATCCTTTCCACTGTTATCTTACAAATGGGAAAATCTGCTCATGGTTCTCTTTTCCTAAAAATGTTGACTTTTTTTTTTCCTATTGCCTACAACTTTATTTCTTACACCCAAGTGTAAGAGGACATAACCTGGACATATTTAATATATTCATACTATTACTTAGTATTTGTCTTTAAACCAACTTAAGACTAGTGTATTATGTATTTTTATTAAATCCTACGTAACCTTAGGTTTGATGAATAATAGTTTTTTTTTATCAGATACATCCAACTATGCAACTAATGAAACTTGAACTGTGAGTGGAAGCACAATGTAACTACCGCTGGTCCATGCTCGGTATTTTGAATCAGTGGGCCTGTGGGAACACATTCATATTTCTTAGTACTGCAGTTGATTCTCCAAAAAGCACTCTCAAAATTCTGCAGCATACTTTGCTTGAACCTTCCTTGTCTCAGTCTCAGGACTCTGCTAGGATGAACTGCTCACATTAGAAAAAGCCACGCCCACTCTACCATAAACACATCTCTTACAGACTGATTCCTATATCTCCAATGGATTCTCTCTACCTTACTTTGCCTGCCAAATTCATTACCCTTCAAGAATTATTTATCATGTCACCTCCTCACAAAATTCCCAGCTCTCTCTCTCTTTCTCTGGTTAGCCACTCTTTCCTCTATCCTACTACAATGCTGTACCTGTTTCTGTTCTCCCACAATTTTTTACTCTATGATATCTCAGAATTGTGGTCCCCTAGACCCAGTGAGGGTTCAGGACCTTGTATTTTCTTGCATCTTCTACACTTAATGTGTGCTCAGGTCACAAAGGACATCTAGTAACCTGGCTCCCCTTTGAAAAAGCTGAAATAAAATACAATGCAAAAAACTGTCTAGAATTGAATGGCTTAGAGGTAGGACATAGCTTTCGTACAGAATCATCTAATTTAGAAAATGATATATTGACTATAATTTTGGCAGACATAATCAACTATGGTTATAACAGCAGTTAAGCAAATTTGGTATTGGCAACTATTTTACAGCAAAAACACTGATATAGAAATGCAAAATGACTCATTTGGGTTTCTTCTCAGGATGGCCAATTGTACCTTACAGTAATCTTCCCTTGCCACAATTGGAAAATCAAGAACAAAAATGCACAAGAGGACTTGGAAGCCACGGGGGACAGAGCATGGCTTTTCAAGTCAGAAGTCTGGACACTGAAACCCTACCTCAATTACCTCCAATCTATGGGCTTAAAATCTGCATTTTAGTTTCTTCTTCTAGAGAAAAAAATGGAAAAATTGTACACTTTATAAGACACTCAGATAATGTAACAAAGGGCTTATGATGAAGCCTGGGATATTATGTGAGCTCAATAAAGAGTCATTACTATTATCTAATCAGAAATTGCAATCCGGATAATCTGCTGTACAAGGACAGCAAACTCATCTCTTAAGAAAATATTTATGGCACTTTGCCTTCTAATTGACAAGTACAGGTTGTGGCTAAGAATAGTCATAAACAAAACATCTGCAAGACAAAAGTTTCTCCTTCTAGTTACATTAAAGTCACACCTGGAACATACCACCACACTTCTTTGTGTTCTCCGAGAATTGACCTCAAATCAGGTTCCCCTAGGATGAAAAGGAAAATCACCCAGTCTTAATTTTTCAATCTTAATTTTATTCAATACAGAATAAAATTCAAACTCTGTACATCCTTCAACCTCTCATGTTACTACGATCCCAAAAACTATCTCCCGATATATCCCTGCTGATAGCTCTTATATAATCAGATGTGCCCGTCATACAGTCCCCCCTTTTCTATGCCTTCTTAGTTGCCAACCCCTGTATTAGAAAGCATCTTTCCACCTTTGCTCATTTCAAATTTCCTTTATTCCATGGGAACCCAAATTAAAGGTGACCCCCTCCACAAAGCTTACTAGGATTGTTCTAAAAGAAGGGTAAATGTCAAGACTCCAACAAGTTCTGAGTTAGGCTCTAACTTTCACAAATCAACCACTCCCTCCTATCTATATGCCTTTCCACTAAGCCCTGAGCACTTTTTGCACGCATTTGTAATATGCAATAATTAATGCAGTGTGTTTCACAGTCTACTGTGTTTGTAGACAGTGAACCCATTAAATGTTTAGCAACACTGGTGCTAACTAGTCTTCGTTGGAAACTTTTAAAATGCTCCACGTTTTTTAATAGGTCCAATTGCCCAGAACTCTCTCCAGAACTCTCGCCAGAACACTGGACTGAACCTTAATTATACATTCATCAAAAATAAGGTTCTTTCCTTCTGCTCCCTATCCCTTCTGGAAATTGAACACATTTTCTACTCCAATGACTGGTTGAAGAGGACCAGTAAGAGAGATAGGTCGATTTTATTAAAAATCTCATCATCAGGAAGCTGAAACGGACAGAAAAATCAAGCTTTAGGTATAGCAAGGAATTTCTGCGCGCGCGAGGGGGAGAGAGAGGGAGGGAAAGGGAGGGAGGGAGGGAGGGAGGAGGAGGAGGGGGAGGGAGGGGGAGGGGGAGTGAGGGAGGGAGAGAGAGAGAGAGAGAGAGAGAGAGAGAGAGAGAGAGAGAGAGACCAGCTGCCACTTAATGAAGACTCTCTCAGTCCAAACAGCTATGAAGGAGCGCATGCAGAGAGGTGTGTGAGAGAGGGGCGGGTGGTGGTAGGAACTAAAACAAAAGAGGGGGGTGGGGTTCGTGTTTTTCTCTTGGCTGCTCCACCACCTGGTGCCCACTCCCTGACTCCCACGGACATCCCCCACTCCTGAAGTGGCAGAGCTGGGCGGAGTTAGGCGCCAAAGAAGGCAGCCCCGGAAGCACCCTCCTCCCAAGGCCCCCTCGGTCCCACAGTCCCCGGCCACTGCCACTCGGGCTTTCTGCCTCGCTGACCTCCAGCTCCCCGGCTACGGAAGCTCTACTCCTTAAACATCCGCGGAAAATCGGGTCCGCTCGGAAGCTCCTGAACCCGGAGTGCCCTTGCAGCACCTCAAGCCCCACAACTGTCTTCCCAACTCAGTACCTTCTGCTAACCGGCCTAGGCCAAGCAATGGGACCCAATGGCTGGACTCTAATCTACTGGGTGGCTACAGAGGCCTTTCCCATTGGAGCGCATGGCTTCATGGGAAATGTAGTTTAAAGTAACTGGATCCTATTCTTTCTCGCAACCACGCAATCTTGGCATTGGTGGAAAGAGTCAAAGGATGCCAGTGGATTGTGGGAGATGAAGTCAATATAGTTCTTCGAGACACCCATAATTCTTCTAACACCAAGCTTCCGCTAATTCCTTGAGGTCAGCTACAGGAGAGTAGTCTGGGTATTGTAGTTTAATGTGCATGGCCCCTCAGACTAGCTTAGAGTATAAAGTGCTTGCTGAGGCAAACTAATGTTCTAGATTCTTTTGAATGCTTTTAAAATGCTTATGTTTTGAAGAAAGTCTAATTTCACATTGTGTTATGATTTGACATTCTCACTGAAGTCTAAGTATGGTTGATTTTTTTTGTTCTGTTTTGTTTTTCAGGCAAAACGCTACTATCTAGCCTAGAAGAAGCCGTTAAGGATCCTACTGCCTAAGCCTCTTGAGACACATATTTAAACACATGTGCTACCAAATGTGTGTGTGTGTGTGTGTGTGTATTCTATATATTCTATATTATATATATAGAATATATAAATATAATATAAATAAATATAATATAAATATATAAATGAATATAATATAAATATACATGATATGTAATATATATATATATATATATATATATATATATATATATATATATATATATATATATATATAGATTCTGTTTTTTAAGCTTAAAATTTTAACTCTGGGCATTGGTGGTTCACACCTTCAATCCCAGGACTCGGGAAGCAGAAGCAGACAGATGACTGTGAGTTAAAGACCAGCCTGATTTAGAGAGTGGTTCCAGGACAGTCAGGGCTGTCTCAAAAATAAAAATTAAAGCTAAGCTGTGGTGGTGCACACCTTTAATCCCAGCACTCGGGAGGCAGAGGCAGACAGATCTCTGTGAGTTCGAGGCCACCTTGGTCTTCAAGAACTAGTTCCAGGACAGGCTCCAAAGCTACACTGAGAAACCCCGTCTCGAAAAACCAAATTAATTAATTAAAATTAAATACCCGTCAAAGTTTGCCATTTATTAGAGTCATTTTTAAAAAAAAAATGTGTACTTCTCAGACACTGAGAGCAACAAATAGCAAGCCCAGAGAACCTAGACAACAAAGAAGACCCTAAGAGAGAAATAAAAGGATCCACCTAGGAAGGAGAAACAGATAAGAACTTCTGAGTAAATTTGGAGCATGTGGGACAGGGTACAAGGTGAAAGGAGAGAGGGGAAGAAGGGAAAATGTATGACTAAATTAAAACAGTAAAGTATAAAAAACTGCATACTTCGAATTGGGAATGATATTTTCCCTTAGAACTTGTCATAACTAAATATGAAAATGTGATATGGGATAGCCCAGAAAAAACCAATCTCTTAAACTAATAGGCAGTGAACCTGCATTCTGGCGGCAAAACTCAGTGGGCGTGCCATGTACTGATATAAAGCTATAGGTTCTAACACACACAATACATCTGCAATAGTAAGTAATTTATCTATCTTTAAGAAAATATCATTTAAGTAAAACTATGTGACAAGAGGGCAATAAATAAATGGGTAGATAAACAAAGGTAGACACAACTTCATAAAACACACACTAGATCTAAAATCACAGATTAATGCCAATGCTTCCATGGTGGGTGACTTCAGTACCCATCTCTCACCAACAGACAGTTCATCAAGACAAAAATGAAATAGAGAAACTCGAGTTTAAATGATACCAGAAATCAAGTAGACCAAACAGATTCCTACAGAATATTACACTCAGAGACTAAAGATTACATATTCTTTCCAGCAGCCCATGGATATTATTCCAAAATTAACATTATAGATGTTAACAAGTATTAAAAAAGGAAAATCGAAATAACATACTGTATTTTATTGAACCACAGTGTAATAAGGTTAGCTATCAATAGCAATAAAAATCACACAAACTCATGGAAAGTAAATACACTATTGAATGATAATTAGGTCAAGAAAAAAAACTCAAGAAGAAAAATTGAAAATTATTAAAATTGATTGAAAATGAAAATACAATATATTAAAATCTATAGCACACAATGAAAGGAAGTCTAAGAAGAAATTTTATAGTGCTAAGGGCCTATATTTAAAGCAAAAGAAAACTGAAAGCCAGGTGTGTGGTGGTGCACACCTTCCCCAGGACTCAGATTACAGAGGCAGGTTGGCTTCTAGGAATTCAAAGCATGCCTGGTTTACATAGTGAGTCCCAAGCCAGTCAAGAGCACATATTGTGACCTGTTTCAAAACCAACAAACATTTTGGGATTGCAAATTAATCAACTGAAAGAGAAATAAGACCCAAATTAATAAAATTAGAGAAGAAGGGGGAGACAGTTCAAGGGACAATGAGGAAATTCAGAGAATCATGAGGACATTAAAAATTCATATTCCACGAAAAAGAAACATCTAAAAGAAATGGATGAACTTCTAGACAGATATGACCTACCAAACTTAAGCCATGATGAAATAATATAAAGAGGCCCTTAGTAGCAAACAAGATGTAAGCAGTAATAATAAAATTCCCAGATAAAAAATGTCCAAGACCAGATGGATTCAACATAGAATGTTACCTGACCATCAAAGAAAAACTAATGTCAATACTCCTCACATCATTCCATAAAATAGAAAGGGAAAGAACACTACTAAATTATTTTTATAAAATCAATATTAACAGTATACTAAAACCAGATAAATATCCCTTACCAAAAAAAGAAAGGGAAGAAATGAAGAAAGAAGGAAGGAAGGAAGGAAAGAAGGAAGGAAGGAAGGAAGGAAGGAAGGAAAAGTAAATCCAGGCCAATCTCCCTAATGAACATAGATGAAAAAACCCAATAAAGTACTTACAAACCAAATTTAAGAACACACCAAAATGTTCATCCATTACCATCCAGCTGGCCTCATCCCAAAGATATAGGTGTGTTCATTATATGTAAATCAATAAATGTAACCCACGACATAAATAGACTCAAGGGCGGAAACCACATAATTGATTCATTAGAAACAAAAAAGACCTTTGATAAAACCAACATCCGATAAAATTCCTGGAGAATCTACCAAATATATATCAACATAATAAAGGTAATAACAACAAACCTGCAGTCAACATCATGCTAATCAGAGAAAACTGGAAGCATTTCACAAAAGTAATACAACAGACAAGGATGTTCATGCACCCCCTATTCTTGGAATCTTAGTTTGAGCAATAAGAATAAGACAAGAGAGGTGGATAAAGGGGATACAAATAGGACAGTATATTAGTTAGGGCTCTGTAAAGGAGCAAAATCAATGGATATACATACACATACACACACACACACACACATATATATAAAATATGATTTACATATGGACATATATAAATAGAGATATGGTAGATACATCTAGAATATGTATAGGTGTAGGTATATAGTGTATATATACTTGCATATATGTACATATGCACATAAATACTACTTGGCCTAAGT